TTTGCTATCAGTTTACCAGCTCTCAAAGGAAACTTGATCAGATGTTATTTGTGTGTCCTCATGAGCAGCATGCTTATGCTTTAAATAATACTGAATCATGTTTTAAATTGTTTTGATTTTGTCTGAAATGTATAGCAACTGGCTGGATCTGAAAGGCCACAGAAATAAATGAAACGAAATGGTTATATGGCACAGAATGATCTCTACCTCTCTATTAATTAGATCCAGAAATATTCAGCACTATTATTTTGTCTTGGGTCTAGTTTTTTTTTTTTAATCGTTTTATAGGAAAGGCCATTGCAAACATAGGCATTTCCTTTCTGTAAATAGAGGAACAAAGTGTTGACTGAAATTGGCCTATTATTTTTTCATTGGTATTATGAGGAACTGAGGCTGTAGGATTAGCCTATGCTGCAAGCAAATGCTAATACGAAGCTAGATTCAGCATTTGTTATAGGCTTAATGCACTTACCAGATTTCCAAAAGTAGGCTACATCACTCAGTCGAAGAGTAAATTTAAAACGGTAATATTTGATGACTTAAAAAGTGTTATAACTGTCCTTGGCTCATTTTTTGACTTATTCTTCAGCATTACAGAATTTTAGGCTTAAAGCATTGAGATAATGAACTAATTATCAGCATGAGTGCATTTTTGACACATCTCTTGTGCTCAGCTGCTTTGTCTTTATATTTAGAAGCATAAGGCAAGTCAAATGTGTGATTGTTCTGTAAGAAATATGCTGTCAGGGATGTTGATACGAGCTGCGCTGCAATATGACTTTTTAACCCTTAAGTCTCACATGCCTCTTTTGGAAGCCTTGGAGGTTTGAATAACTGATGCCTTTTGTTTTCTGGTCATCATGATTATTTGTCACGTTTCATGCATTTTCAGTGGCCTCCCTTTCATAAAAGAGGAAGTGAGCAATTCAGTCAACAGTACAACCTCACATGTGATATTAAACATAGTATTTCCAGCAATTTTGCTTTGTTTTGCCATAATGTGGTTCTGAATGTTATGGCTAAAAATAGTTCAAATCTATATTTTTCAGCCTTTTGGTGATATGCACAGCCATCTTAGCATAATATATGAAAATTGTCATAAAATTGCCTTTTTTGTGTGATGCAAATTGAAGTTGAAGTAGAGTTTTATATCAATTCTCAGTGGTTTTTTGGCAACTGTTTCTCAGAAGGAATTGAACTTAGAAACTTTTTTAAGCAATTCATACAACTATAAAGTGCATAAAGTATCAAACTATCATCATGTACAGTATTTCAACAGTTTACTGTAGCTCTACTTTTATTCTGCAGTATCCACACCTGTTCATCTGTGCCCTCCAGATGAATTCTTCTTGCTCAGTTGTGAACCGGTGTCCTCTTCGGTTTAAATGTGCTTGATCCTCTGAGGTTTGATCTTGGGGACTGTACTCATCACTGGGAGTTCTGGGAGTAACACATTCTATTAATAATCCAATCACAGGCCAACTGTATGTTGACAGGCCAATGAAGTCTAGGGTCAGTGGCTCCTTGGGGAGAATTGATTAGTAAAGAGGCGCTTTGGCATCCTCATGATGGTGGTGATAAGACCTCAGACATGTCATCTAGCACATTCCTGTCACATCTGTCCGCTAATGAATTCCCTCAGTGCAGTGTGAAAAACAGACTTCACGTTTGAGTTTCACACATTTCTATGTGAAAAATATCCTGATTTCCAGTCAGTTTTTGGACTTCTAGAGATGTTTCGTGATGCATGTGGAAGCAATGTGTGTTTGGCAGCTGATTACACACTGCCACATAAATGGAGTATTGATGCGTGGCAGAAGCTTACACTCTTAAAAAGAAAGGTTTCAAAATAAGGTTTTCATAGCAACACCCCCAACAAACCTTTCAGTGAACAGTTCATTGAGGAACCATTTTTTACTTAGTGTGAAGAACATTAATAATCTGAAGAACCTTTCACACTTATGAAGAACCTTTTGTGCAGTGGAAAGATTCAATGGATGTTAACGGTTCTTCATGGAACCTCAGATGCCAATAAAGAAGTTAGATTTTTATGAGTGTAGTTTTGGAGCTTGAGTCTATTTTTGCTGCATGTCATGTTCTGTATGTCTGTTTTTAACAGCACAATCTTTTTATTATCTACTGCAGGCTCCTATGAAACAACATTAAATAATGGAGTGAACCACTTAAAAAAACATTGGAAATGTGTGGTAAATGTCAAGCAGTCAGTTGAAGCAACATTCTGTGATAAGTTTGAGAAAGGACATTTGTACAAAGTGAAATACAGCTAAGTTTGCCTCTCATTTTGTTTCTAAATTCGTTGGCTGTGTTTTGACAGTATAATGAGAAACAAGTGATAAAATCTCATAGTTGAGATGCAAGAGTCAGGAAGTTACCGTCTCCTGAGCATTTGAAGGAGTAGTTCTCGAAAAATGAGAAGTTACTCACCCTCATGTCATTCCAAACATCACAAAAAAAAATTGGTGTTGGATTTACTTTGAAACTATTTTCACTCATAAATTGCTCAAATATTTTTTACAAATAATTACTAAGAAATGACAAATAACACACTGAATTAAGCATGAAGTTTTGAAGTAGAAAGACTGAAATAGTGTTTTCTTGTAAAACGTATACTGCAATAATCATCATACAGTGCTGTATGACTGACTTTTACTGTGGACCGCAAAAGAAGATATTTTAAGAAATGTTGAGGTCCAGACAACATTGGACTCCACTGACCTCCAATAAATGGAAGAAAAGGCCAAAATATTCAGTTTGTCCCTTGGAGGTCTGTTATTTTTTATAGATTTCTTTAATAGAGAAGGTCTCATAACAATGACCCATACACACACTGACCCAGGTCTCTGCTGTAATTCTGCAGAGAACAATGTAATCGTGTGTGCATTTTCTTGAAATGATAAATGGTGTCACTGCTTTGGAGCCTGACTATTTGTTTATTGTTCTCAGTTCTTTGATGCCGTTTAGGCGTGTGGAAATGCTCTTGTGATCATTTTACACTTCATCTGGCCAGGTGTGCCTGTGACATTAGGTCTGCTGTTCTGTTGGATTATATTTGATAAACGGGTTTAATATCTCTTTGCGTAGCCCATGTGGAAAAGCCACACCTCTCTGTCAGAATCCATTCTTTTTGCAAGCTAAGAAGAAATTATGTAGGGGTGGGGGTAGGGTGGAAGAGAGTTCAATTCTTGGTTGAATCACAAACCTTAAGCCTTAAGTGAGCATCTAACCTAAAATAATCAGTCGGTTCTATGATTAAGGGTCTGGGTTGACTTCTTTGAATATGTTTGTAGCAGACATTAGAAGCACAAATCCCAAGTTTTTTTAAATATTAAATATATTATATAAACTATATAAACTACTATATTAGTTGTAATTGTAAGAAAAAAAAAATGAAATTAAAAAAAAATGAAATGAAAAAAGATTAAATATATAAATCCGTGTATCATTCGATCACACCTTGGCAACCACCCAGAGTACCCTAGCAATATTTCTAAGCCATATAATCCGTGTATCATTCGATCATTCGTTTTTTGATTTAATATTGAAAGTAGAAAAATGAGAAAACGGCTCCTTTTTTCGTATTTTCGTTTTTTTCCGAAACACGAAAAACGAGAATTCAGCTTAAATTTTAGTTTTTCGTTCTTGGGTGGAAAAATGAATAAACAGCTTGAATATTCGATTTCTACACGTGGGCGGGAATTAAACGCCCCTTTCTGCTGATTGGTCAGCCGAAGATCAATCCTCAGTTCCGCGCAGCAGAATAATAGTCCTCCGCTGCTGCAGTTGTATGGATTCTTAATGCCTTTATTGCATTATTTGACGTTAAATGCATCATATAAGTCACTTTGGAATAAATCACAGTAGGCCTATGTATCATGATAAAAAAAGCGACTTTACAGTCTGGAAATACTTTAGGCTATAGCAAATTATTTTGTGGACCCCCTATCACTTTAAGAACCGCTGGTCTGCACAGAAGAAAGAACTGTCTAGACTCTGCCCCTGTACGAGTTGTGTCGAGCTATTCATTAGTCTGTTTGATGAGAAAAATATGAAATGTAGTTGCAATAAAATGGGTTATTAATCCGTACAACTGCAGCAGTGGAGGACTATTATTCTGCTGCGTGATACTGCAGAAGAACTGATGATGGCACGGTTTGATCTTCGGCTGACCAATCAGCAGAAAGGGGCGTTTAATTCCCGCCCACGTGTAGAAATCAAATATTCAAGCTGTTTATTCATTTTTCCACCCATTAACGAAAAACGAAAATTTTAGCTGAATTCTCGTTTTTTGTTTTTTGGGAAAAAAAAACAAAAAAACGAAAAAGGAGCCGTTTTCTAATTTTTCTACTTTCAATATTAAATAAAAAAACGAATGATCGAATGATACACGGATTTAAATATATGGTGTATTTCAGTTTATGGAAAATAGATGTTTATCAGTAACTACAAACCAACATACTACTGAGTGGCAACCAACAACTGAGTCACAGCATAATTTGGGCTACATTTAATTTCAATATATTGCAACACTTACACATTCATCTGAAATTTTGGTAACAGTATATATGAGGTGTTTATATATTTGTTTTGGTTCTTTGGTGAATAGAAAGTTCAAAAGAATGCATTTATTTGAAATATAAATAAATATTTTAAAGGTCTGTAGTTACAGTTGATCAGTTTAATGTGTCCTTGATGAATAAAATTATTGAAATAAAATAAATTTCTTGCTGAAAATTTTTGATCAGTGATCTGTGGTTGGTGATCAACATTTTCTGAAGTTGAGGCTCTTATATGCCTTGTTTTTCTATGCTGTTTGTGGAAAGAGGCAGCCCTTATGTTTGTTGTTATGGTCAGAAACATTCATTCACACAAGTATTTCCTGTTATAAAAACCAGTTGGCTGTTTTCCATTGTTTAGGGGTCAGCTCAGTTTTTTTTATTCAGTTCATTCAAAACTGTGTTCTTGCTGTGATTCACTTTTAGTGGAGGGACTGGAAAAATCTTCTCTGGCCAACTGTGATGTGGTGGTGGGAAGCTCGCAGTCTCCTCAGCTGAAAGGAAAGGGGAAGCTCTCTTCTCTGGGCAAGATCTTTAAACCTTGGAAATGGAGAAAGAAGAGAACCAGTGATAAGTTCCAGGACCTCTCAAAAGGTATATCCCCATTTATTAATAGAATTTTGCTTGAAAGTTTATGATGGTAGCAACACATCCAAATATATATATTCAGGATGTAGTCTTTCAATGATTCCCTCTTGGCTTATCTTGATGCAACCTCACAATTCTATGAAAGTTACGTCATCCAGTATGACATTCACTTGGTGATTATGTTGGATGGATCAGAAAATGTATTACACATTACAGCTGGCAGCTGCCTGCACTTTCACTTAACCAAAGTAACCATATAGAGGCCTAAATATAATTGATATCTTGATATGTTCTGTCTCCTTCATCTTTATAGTTCTGGAGAGGAAAATATCCACCAGGCAAACTCGAGAAGAGCTCATAAACAAAGGTGTCCTTATTCCAGACCAAGGTGAGATTTTAGGTAAATGAAGTGAATGTGATACTGAGCATGCATGGATGGCCATTGACCTGTTTTCTGTAATATTAAAGGAATGTTCTACACTCAATAAAATTGTTATTAGATAATTTATTCTTGGTTTATAGTACACTATAAGGACAGTTTCCTGCAGCAACCTATAGTTCAAGTAGGTTATTTGGAGGTCTATTCTGTGTACTTCATGTATGAAGTGGTGCTGGTGGGTTATCAGATGCAATCTTTAACTTTTAACCACTGTGGTACCACCGCCTACAGTAGAAGACAAATTCATTAGAACTTTTTTCAATGTCTGTAGCCGCAGTTACCACTGCGTGAACAACTGATATAGGGTGCTTTAGCAACAAAGATTAATACTTTGTTCTACCACCCTGGAATGTTTTCCATTAAATGGATTTCATCGATGTTATCCATATAATAAAAGTTAAACACTTCCTGGACTTACTGTTCATGTCCAAATAAGTTGACTTACTTTGTGAGAACAACAGAATCCCTCCCAATCTTCAGGCTCAGAGTAAAGAATTTCAGTAATACTTTTAAGTAGTCTTATTTGGCCTTACATGGGGAAACCAAAGCACTTTTTTATAAGAACTGCCTTGAATGACTTTCATATCAATGCAAACAAAATTGTGTTTTTACTGAATAGCAGGCATGTTGTCTTGGTTCCATGATAACTGAGCCATGTTTGCTTATCTTGAGATGGTCCTTTGAACACAGAGACCTTGAATGGTAATGCAGTGCCCAGTGGAGTTACTGAAAAGGTCAAAGTAGACATTGAAACACCAGAGCTGGTCCCAGAAGAAAAAGCAGACTTGGCGGCAGTGGCAGAGGACCCAGAAGGTATCGTTTTCTGTTTCTTTTATCAAAAAGGGGCAAAAGAAAGATGCTGAATCTTCATCTTCAGTTTAACTGTACTACTAATCTATCTTTGATGTTTTAAGCTCAAGCCACTCATAAGTTACATTTTTCAGTCTGACTGGCGGGTCTTTTCATTGGTTTTTCGGCATGCTCATGTTGTGTTTTTTTAACAACATATTGTTCACTGCATGGACAGTGCAAAGTGATCCATATTATAATTTCTGCACATCACGCCATCCATATTTCATATCATTGTGGCTGAACAATAGTAAAATCAACGCTTATATTGTAAGAGCAAATGTATCAAAATGGACGAATAAAGATTGACGGTAAGTGTATAGTGTGTGTTGTTTAGAGGAAGTTTGAGCTGCTTTGGAGCAACAGTTCTATCTTGTTCAGTGAAATGTAATGACGATGTGGTCAAGTTTTTAATAAACTGTACAAATGGAGTTATTTTTAGAACAATGACATTTCCTGAGAAGCTTATTTCCAGGGTGTGTTTGGTTTTTTCTCCACATATGTCTTTAATGAACGTCTCTTGGATCGTCTGAACCTCTCAGGTGGTGAGATACCCTCGAGTGTCTATTGTGCTGTATTGATTTGGTTGAAGTTATATTAAAACCATTGTTAATAATAACAGGAAGTGCTTTGTATTGAAACCATCCTTTTAGGTAATGGGTTTTATGCCGTTTAGACTGACATCATTTTGGATTTTTTTTTTCATCAGAGCTGTAGGCTGAAGTTGTGGCCACAGTCATAAGATGCACAAGGGAATGTCAAAACTGTATTTTTATCATTTCTGCCACTTTAATGATCTACAACAATTCTGTAATTCTTTCAACCACATTTCTCCCACCAATTAATATATTTTATTCTTCATGGGGCAAGCATTAAACCACTTGAGGCGTTTCCGCCGTGCCTAAAAACAGCATCAGCAGCTTAAAACCAATGTTTAATAAATATCAAACCAATTAAGTTACTAATAATTATATATTCGCAAATTACCGTTCAAAAGTTTAAGGTTTTGAAAGAAGTCTCACCAAGGCTTGATTTATTTGTTAAAAGAATTATTATAAAAAAAGGTTTTTCCATTTTTTAATTATGTATACATTTTAAATGTAATTTTATATTGTGAAATATAATTTAAACTACTACTGTTTCCTATTTTACTATATTTCAAAATGTAATTTAATTCTTTTAATGGCCAAATTGAATTTTCAGCAGTCATTACTCCAGTCTTCAGTGTCACATGATCCTTCAGAAATCAATAAAAATGTCTTATTATTATCAATGTTGAATACAGCTGTGCTTCTTAATATTTATTTGGAGTAAACCGTAATACAATTTTTCAGGATTCTTTGATGAATCACTTATCAAAAAAAAAAATTATAATAATCTTTGTAACATTATAAATGGTTTCACTGTCTCTTTTGATCAATATAATGCATCATTGCTGAATAAAATTGTCATTATGTATGACAATATTTAGTATTTGTCAGCCAATTAATATAGTTTGAAAGCTTTAATGTTGGCTATTTAGTGTCACTACTTACTGCATTATATAAAGTGTGGTCATATTTGTGTTTACAATGGCTTAGAACGTGGCTTATCCAATCGCAATTTAGAGCTAAATGCTGACATGATCAGAGAGTCTTCTTAGTCAATAACAGTTTAGGGTGCTCTGCTCCTCTGTGCTCCTGTAGAGAGGAATGACAGCAAATGCAGCCCGCAGGCCAGTGAGTCAGCTGCTCCAAAAACCCCTACTAAAAAACATCAGGCCACACCCCAAAAACCCTCCGGTGAGGCCATAAGTACAGGCATGAAGAAAGGGGGCCAAGCAGGGGGTAAAAAGATAATCAAGAGCACCAATAAGCAGGTCTCCGCTTCTCCACCCAAACAAACCACCCGAACTGCCACTCGTGGCAATGGTAAGTACACATATCAGTGATGTGAATAGAGCATCGTGTTTGCATGCGTGGTGAACAAGCTCTGCATGCTCTGCATGGAGGGGTCCTATTTGCGTCTCTTTCCCCCTGACCAGTCTCACTGGGAACCAACTTGATCTTTTGAGGAACATTTCGACAAAGTTTGTCAGAATTGTCAGCAGAATCTATCTGCATTTATTTGAGAAAGGGAAAATGCTCAGTTTGCTAGACAGCAATTTTTGCTTTTGTTTGTTTTTTTTTTGTTTTTTTTTTGTTTTATGGTTTAACTAGCTTGGGATTGGTATCCAGGACTGTGCAAAGTGACATCCTGACTCATTTGTGACCCATTATGGCTTTCTTGTGTTGTTGTTATTGTGCTTGCATTACATGTCTACTGTCTCATTGGTTAAACACATTATAATCTTTTATTGACGTTTGCCTTTATGTCTGAATATAATGGTACAATAAATGTGTTGCATTTTGCATGTAACTAGGACTTTGTGCATGTAAGCCACAGTCATGTAATTGTCTATAAACGGGCTTATTATTCCACACTGTGCTAGACCTTTGTCCTTTTACCTGGCCATTGTGTGTCTCTGGTGCAGCTCATCATTGGTGGCTTGACAGCTTTCTCTTTTAACTAAAGCATTAATTAATTAATTAATTAAGTAATTAATTTATCTGTGCATTTTTTGAATACACAAGTGAATGTGATATTATTATATACACCATATTATCTTATTATCTTTCAGTTCTGTGATTATCAGTTCTTATTCTTAGAAACCCCATTTAAAATGCCACCATTGCTGTTGGTGTATCCATAAACTCATTGTTTCAAGATCCAAGTCTCTATAATTTCCCTGAATTTCTTCACAGCTAAACCTTCGACTCCTAAGAAAACTGCAGGCGCATCCAAGAGTTCCTCTCAGGCCTCAGGACAATCTTCTTCATCGACCTGCTCCAAGACCCCAAAGAACAGCAACTTAGAACTAACAGCAGCGCAACCCAAGTCAGCCAAGAAAGCCGAACCTTCCAGGTCAGCACGGCCCCCTTCCAAAACCTCGTCTGAGACTGTGGAAAGCTCCTCTAAAAAGGACCAAAAGAAAAAAGAAGGGACCTCCAGTATTGAGAAGGCTGAGGAGACCTCTCAGAATGGGAAGGGTGCCGATCATCTATTGGAGTCCTCTGTAGAGAAGGACAAAAGGCAGCCCTATGTTAACCAAACCACAGAGGAAACGTCCTTCTCTGAATCTTCAAATGCACTTTCTTCAGACACTTTAGGCCAATCTGTGAGCACAGAGAGTGAAACAGAGAAGGAGAGGGCAGTGGCAGACCAGCCACAGAGGTCAGTTTACATGTGTATTTTTACAATTTTCATGTGAATGTTTAATGTCACTTTGTAAATTCTGTATGTCCTCTAGTGTTGTGCTATTGATTTTGATTATATAACACATGCATGTCAGTGTGCCATGTGCTCTGTGTATTTCCCCTGAAGGCAGTATGATTGTTGCAGTTGAGTCATGCTGTATGTCATCCTCCAATCAGATGTTTAGTGAGATTGGTGTAAACAACAATGTGCATTACTGTTCAAAAGTAAGGGGTAAAGGCTACATTTTATTTGATAAAAAATACAGTAAAAGCAATAATATAATTCTCTTTTCTATTTTAAATATATTTTAAAATATAGTAATTTATTCCTGTGACGGCAAAGCTGAATTTTCAGCATCATTGCGCCAGTCTTCAGTGTCACATGATCCTTCAGAAATCATTCTAATATGCTGATTAGCAAATTACTGCTCAAAAAACATTTCTTCTTATTATCAAATTTGAAAACCGTTTGCTGTTTAATAATTTTGTAAAATGTAAAGTGATACTTTTTTCAGGATTGTTTGATAAATAGAAAGTTCAAAAGAACAGCATTTATTTAAAATACAACATTTTTATAAAAAGGTATAAGTATTTACGATGGCTTTAGATCAATTTAATGTGTCGTTGCTGAATAAAAGTATTAATTTCTTTTATAGAAACAAATCCATACTGACCCTAAACTTTTGAGCAGTAGTGTAATTCTTTCTGCAATGTAACTTCAGGCTAAAAACTTGTTCTTCTTTTTTAGTTGTGCTGTTTATTCATAGTTTGCCAAAATGGTTTTGTAATCAGTATATAACATCAAATAGACCTTGATCTTGTAACTTGCTTGACAGGAAATGTGGCTAGTGATAAAGTTGTAGTAATATAGTGAGTTGTCTAGTACTTTATCACGTGATTATATGTGTATAATCAACTTTTTAGCTAGACCTACAACATTACAGGAAAACAACTGCACTGAAGGGGTTATATGATGACGAATCAGCATGTATTTGGGACAGTTTGTCAAACTTGTGCTACTTGCAGTGTAGTAAAAAAAAAAAAGTGTGATCACTGAAGTGCAGTGATCAACTCTGTTGCTCACCTCATGTGCAGTGGCCGAAGAAAAAAAACCCCATTTATCTCAAAGAGTCAGTGAGAGAGGGTAGAAAATGGAAAACTAAACTATGACTCTTTTGGCACAGAAAAACCTAACTAATGGACGTCAGGGAAAGTACTAATTTTAAAAATGAATGATGTATGATCCATTTAATGTCTTGAGTATGTTAGCCTCTTTCCCTTATTTGATTATGTAAACGGATTCTGATTATGAATGTTTTAGCTAGATTAAATGAGTGTTTTGCTTTGCCTTTTGTAGGATTGTTGGGACTGAAGAGGGAGAGAGACGACAAATCGTCAATGTTGAAAGCCCACAGGTGTCCATCATTCCTGACTCCATTCAAGAAAGCCAGTCCAACGACTCCGATTCAGATGGACCTATACTCTACAAAGATGATGAAGAGGAGGATGAGGATGATGAGTATACCTCTAGTATGTGTTCAAGTCTGGATTGTGTTGTTTTTAGGCCCCAACCCCTTGTTTCTTCATATTTTCGGTCAATAAAAGCATTTAAAAAGTTGAGCCAAATTAAAATTTTGTAACTGAAAGGCCTTAAATATGCAGCTTTTCTGGATATGCATTTAGAGTATTCTAGCAAAGGTGTGTCTTCAGCCTAATGTTTATGAATAAACAACACAAAATGTAGCACAAGTACAAATGATACATTTCCAAGAGGTTTCATTCTTGGTATCTGCCTTTTAGAAGTTTCTCTTGGACCAGAGCTTTGCCAAAATTCTTTGACGTACAAGCCTTTAGTTTGTCAAACTGGAAAAACATGCTGTGTCTTGTCAGCGTTACTTTTTGACATGCTGGTTACTACGCAGACTTTGCTGCCAGTGCGCTTTGCACAACACATTCCTGCAAAGACCTACGCCTGTTTCTCATTTTCTGTTCTTTCCACACTGCAATCTGAAGATGCTTTACTGGTGTCAGAATGCAAATACCTTATTATTACGTTTTTTTTCTTGGGTTGCAATGGTACTAAAGCACTGTCCAGTGCAGATAAGCCAATAATGATTTTCATATCATGGCTGATAACTAATAAATGTCAGATATTGAAATGATTTACCATTTGGAATAAATAAATGTATTTGAATACATAAATGAAACTAAAACACACACACACACAAAATTCTGCAAGTGAATTAGGCATCACAACACTAATGTACAATATAAAAAGTGTGATTTTAAGATTTGCTAAAAATTGCATTTACAGTGTTACATAATTTATTAAAATGAACTTTGAGTGTAATTTAATTTTTACATTTACATTACCTTTCCTAAAACAATCAAATGTAGGCTCACTTGCCAGCAAAATTCGCCGCAAGGACACGCTTGCCATCAAACTTGGTAACAGGCCCAGCAAGAAGGAGCTAGAAGAGAAGAACATTCTCCCACGGACCTCAGAGACAGAGCGTCAGGAGCTACGACAGCAGATCGGCTCTAAACTAGTGAGGTACATTAAATCATGCTGTTCTGTACTGCTAGTATGTTTTGGACACTAACATTGTCAATTTATGGTAATCAATACTGTTAGTCAAAAGTTTGGATACACCTGACAGAATTTTTGTTTCTGATAATCTTGAGTGTTTTGAGAAGTATGAATTGGGCCTGTTTTTTCCTTTACAAAACAGTCTAAATATTCATCAATAGTCTTTCTGGTTTCTCCCAGACTGATTCTTGTTTTCGTTTTCCCATAGACGGCTGAGCCAAAGGCCCACCACAGAAGAGCTTGAACAGCGAAATATTCTAAAACGTATGTCTCCTCTGTCACAATCTCATTTACACAGTCTGTAGACAGTTGCTTTGTTCGGGATGCCCAGGGCATTTAATGTTTATTCTTGCTTATTGCTGCCTCTGATGTTGCAGAGACATTCATTGAGTCACAGACGTCGCTGTGCATCTCAGTCCCTGTGTCGTTCTGCCTTTTCTCTTGCCTTGGTTTTATGTGATATAATTGATGAAGCTAGGAATGTGATGAAGGAGCTCTCTTCTAACAAGCTGTAAGCTATATGCCAACAAACAGGGAGGTGTAAACAATTCATCAGAGTTGCTTAAAGCTCACTGCTTACCTAAGATATAATTGATATTAGCAGCCCCTTAAAGGGCTTGAATGTCCCAAATCTAAAATTATAATATACAGTATAAACAAGTTGTTGTTATTATTGTTTTCTGAAGTAAAAGTGAGGTTTATTATTAAATAAGACAGTGATAATTGAAGATATCATAAGAGTATAGTGTCAATTTGAATTGTTAGGCCGTCTTATAAATAGAAAAATAAAAGAAGGTATACCAGTAATTGTTTTGGAAATCTCATAATATCACAACAACTTATAAATCAAGAGGATGGAGTATGGAGGAGTCTTCAAGCAATCCTCTTGGTCCCATGGCAAATTCAGTGTTTGGCCAATGTTACACAATTAAGTTTTGAACTCATCACTGACCATGCTTTGATTCTAGACAGCCATTTAATGTTATGTTATGCTGGATTTCACTGTACTCTGATCACTTACTTACAAGAAAGACTCAAAATCAGCATTGACATTCACATATCAGTTAGTATTGAGTGACCTTGGTTGTGGTAAAGTCTTATTCTCAGTTTTGCAATAATTGTCAAATGATGTATTTAAATTTCAGAGCAAGTATCAGTCATTGAATAGGATAGAAACTGTCAAAGGTCTTTCTTGTGTCCCTATAGAGAAAAATGAGGAAGAAGAACAAGAGGCCAAGCAGGAGATTAAAAGAAGACTATCCCGAAAGGTACAACCTTCTGCAGTCTGATAGACAGTCAGGTTGTTGAATCTGTGAGAAATATATGAAAAAAAGAACAACTTAAGAAAAAAAAAACCTGCTATGGTAAATCATAATTATTACAAAGTCACAATTATGACATACATAATGAGATAAAAAGACAAAATTATGACAGACTAAATCTAAATTGTGATAGGAAGTCATAATTCTAAAATAATTATGACAAAAAATTCCTGTCATGATTGGCTTAGTATCTCATAATTTTGACTTCTTATGTCATAATTGTGATTTCCCGAAGCATGAATTTTTTTTTTTCTTACATGGCAGAGATGAGCTTCCATAGAAGTTAGACATGTCATATATTGAAACATTACAAGTATAAGTTTACATTTATTTCAAATAACTCCTAACCTGTTACTTTTGCATAATTCTGCAAGATGTTATGAATCATCATGAATCAGTATCATCACTGTGACATCACCTTGTGGAAAATAGGGGACTGTGGGGCATTGGGCCATCTGCTGGCCTTACAAGGAAGTAAAATAAAAATTAGACCAGTAGCTCAATACATCACTTTAACACAGACTAATTGACATTTTGATGATGTAGTTGTACTTGAATTTATTATTTAATATTTTAAGATGTTCCTCTGCTATTGTGAAATTAGATTAAAGAGTTAATTTGGTTGTGTCTGCAACCCACTCGCTAACTCCAGATTACAATGTGGGAGGTGTTGTGGGGAGTATAAAAGAGTTTTATATTCCTGACGTGTTGTAAGAGTGGTGGCTGGAAGTCTGACCATTTTAATTATAGCCACCTTATTTAGTTTGCTGCTAATGCCCTATATTATGGAGAGAAATAGGACAGAGGATGTAATCAGTCAGATAGACCAGATCTATAAAATGGTTCAATAGTCAGTTACAGAGATTTTCTCAAAATTGACCTGTTCTAGCTGAAACCGCAATAATGGACAGTGCTTTTCAGACAAATGACTGCAGGTGTAGAAACCATCTCTAAATATTTCCACTTGTAAAGTCAGTCACATCCAACCTGCTTCATTCTCAAAGAAGAAATTTAGTTTGACACATTCATTGTTTCACTCACATAAGGTATTACTTAGACTAGAAGGAACATGCTTAACTTCTATTAAAGGTGACTGCACACACATTAAAAGGTGACTCGAGGAATTGCTCTGTGTCTGTAGCTCAGCGTCCGGCCCACGGTTGCAGAACTGGTGGCACGTAGAATTTTGCGGTTCAATGAATATGTGGAGGTCACAGAAGCAAAAGACTATGATCGCCGTGCTGACAAGCCCTGGACCAGGTTAACCCCTGCAGACAAAGTAAGGCACTCTTCTCTTACTGTTGCTTTACAGTGTGCGTGCTGTGCTATATAGAATTCTGAACACACACCTCAGATACCACTTATGCACATAAACCATGCCAATTGTTGATCAAGTTTAATAAATAGTAGGATTTTTTTTTTCATTTTAAATAACAATGGTTCAGAGGATTAAAAATATCTTTATAGTATAAAAAGATTAAACCGCTCTAAAACACAGCTAAATTAATACTGTTTCTTTTTTTCTTTTTTCTTTTACTTTTAACTTATCTAACTATTTAATTATATATATATATATATATATATATATATATACACACACATCTTTTTGGAATGAATATTTTAATTCTATTTTTAAAGACTAAGGGAATCTCAAACTAATTCAATTTATCACTTATGTAGATTAAGACCTTCTAGATCATTTTAGATATTTCAGAGCACAAATGCTTTAATGGTTGTCCCAAAATGGGAGTAATTCACCCTCACATCATTCTAAACCTGTTACCTGCTGCTATTTCTTGTTGAACACAGGAAGTTATATGGATTTATAGTTTTTGGGACATTTTCGTTCTTTTTGGCACTTTGTGAATAATGACATTTTCATTCTATACAACCATTCCTTTACGATTTATAATTAATAAACAGGATAAACACATTCGTTGCCTATCTATATTGTTATATACCCTTGGGGCCATCAGCTGCATACATATCAACTATGCATATAATTAAGTTCCTGTCTTGTATAATTTAGAGAACAGTAAATCTGGATAGTGTGATCAACAATGGAAGAGTTGCCTTTTGTATGGTCACAGATGCCACCTACTGGGCATGTGACTGGTGCATTAAAATGTGATAATTAACAAAAATTCAAATACTTTTGTTGTCAGTAGTTCATGATAATGAATGTAATTTAATGAACATAAAACATTATATTAACATATAATTAAGTATAATGCACTTCAAAAATAAATCTGAAATAAATGCTTTTCTTTTGAACTTACTATTCATCAAAGACAATTTAAAATAAAACAAGTTATTTTAAATTGTAGTAATATTTCACAATATTTTGATCAAATAAATGTAGCCTTTGTGAGCATAAGAGACTTCTTTAAGAAACATTAAAAGTCTTACCGATCCTAAACTTTTAAATGGTAGTGTATTAAAAAACTTTTCATTTTGCATTGTTTCATAAAGTATTTCATTGTACAAACTTTCAGTTGTCATTGTCACTTTCTTTTTTCTTTTTACAGGCTGCTATACGTAAAGAACTTAATGAATTTAAAAGCAAAGAAATGGAAGTCCATGAAGAAAGCAAACAGTTTACCAGGTATGTTTGTGTACTAGCAGCCTGATCAAAGGAAGATGAACTGAAAACATTGTGAGAGACGGCTAAAGCATTGAATAGACATTACAGAACGTCTGGACAAGGCAATATGGCCAAAAAAATATCACAATCAAATTTTTCATATCTGTCAATATCGATAATCATCACGATAAATGTCAAATCTTTATTTCTTTCAAGTTTAGAGGCAGATTTTTGCTCCTAAGTGAAAGTTGTAGAAACCAGACCATTAACTGTGGTTTTAAACTAGTCTTTATTCTCAGAACATGACAAAAACTTCACGTTTTACCCAGCCCTATGTGAAATATAGCAAAATTCACACGATGAGAGGTGGTGCCTCCATAGCACTATGATTGGCTGATTATCTGTTTATCATCACAGCAAACTGCTGGAAATGGATAGACAAAGTGCAATTACTTTGCATCTCTTATAAATTAGACGTCTGTCAGTATGTATCTGGCAGGGCTCTTTATTCATCAAGTGCCGTGTTAATAGGCTTGCTGGTGATAAGAAAGATCCCATCAGCTGCTCTTTCCACTGCCTCGTTTCCTCTAAATATTGCTCAGATCTGTTCTGCGTCCCGTCTGCTGGAATCGCGTCTGCTCTCTCCATTTTGTGGCAGGTTTCATCGGCCCTGAGGCGGTGCCTGGTGGTGGGGGTGCTGGACGGCCGCTAACTCCAGGCTCTCTCTTCCTGTCTCTTCGCCATGCTTCCTGCTGGGAGGCTAACAGACTGGCTCCCTGCGGCAGCCGGCTCTTCTCTGCCGTCGGCTGCACTTTGGTTCTTGCTTTCAGCCACTAGAGGGCTACAGCGCAGCTAAAGATGGACCTGGAATGCCATTGCGATCTGAAACGGATAGAGAGGGACCTTCAAACAAGATGCAGCAATGCAATGGTTCTGACACGTTTTTCCATATCTGTAATGGTTTTGCACACACTAAGGACAAGACTTGCACTCTTTTAATTTAAAGTGTCCCTGATATTCTCTCAAGGTTGAGCACAGCAGTGTAAATCATTGAAGCGCGTTCAGTGACTCATCAGTGGCTTGCTTTGTTGCTGCATGCATCTCTGAGGATTTTTTTTGTTTTGTTTTGTATATATTACATATTTCTTGCAGCATTCATGCAGAGTCCAGTAATATCGATGAATATCCATGCATGTGAAAAAACATTTTATGACTCATGTATCTGGTTCAATGTATATTACATGGATATTCAGGTCCATTTGGGCATCATGATGTCCAGGTTTATTACTGCCATTATTCCTCTGTATCCAGATTAATACGTCCTCAATATAATGTATGTAATCAGATTTATGTTGTGCCTTGACAGTGTTGTTTTGTTTTGTTTTCTCCAAAAAAGTCTGATTACTTGATATATGTGGTCATGTTGTAACATATCTGTAACTGCTGTTCAGGAAGAGACTAGCATCATATGTTCGTGACATAATTCATGTTTATTTACCTTGTATTTTAGTTTCCCCCTAACATTATCACGGGTTTCCCAAACTTTCAGCTAGCATCTTGTTGATTTGGCTTTTAGGTTGTACATAAATTTGGTGGATTTTATTGAGTACAGTCGTGTCGACCGGATACAAGATGTGGCAAGCAATATAATGTAGTGAAACGGTAGTTTTAACTCAAATTGGAAAGGGCTTGTAGTCCATTATTTTAGTTCATTATACAATGTGTCTGTATTGCATTATTGCACATTTTGGTGCTCTATATATTATATGATTGTATGTCACAGGCAGAATTTGCTGGACACTCAAGTTGTTGTTGTTGTTTTTTTCATGTAGTTAGAAATTGGGGAAACTTAAATTATTTTAAATCAGTTGTACAGTCCGTGTATGATATATGTGAATACATCCAGTATATTGCAGTATATTGGCTTGATTTCTTTCTCAGAGAAACACATTTAAAGAGGGGTGAAAACATTAACTTGTATTTATCATTCTGTATGTTTTATTTAGTTATTTAGGTTATCAAGCTCTCAGATTTACATGAGAAATCACCTTAATCACCACTGGACAATTTTAAATCACATTTATACAGGATTCATCGCTATTTAATGAAAAAAGCCGTTAAGATGTCTTTTATTAAATGGATTAGTATAGATTAGTATATATATTTGAGTTTCATACTTCCACACTGTATACTGAGAGATCTATTCCTATTTAAACTGTCTATATATTCTTTGTTTTAAAGCAATTACATAAAAAAAAAATATATATATATATATATAAACAAAAAATTAAAATAATTGTACATGCCAGTAAAACAAAGCAGGAGAATTAGTAAGTGTAGTTAGAGAGCATAAATAATACTGTAGCGCTTTTGTACGAATTTTATCATTCATATTGTATGATTTAGAAACAATTACTAGACATTTTATGCTGTAGATGCTGAGAAGTTATGATCATACAATTTATTCTATATAGAGTTGTGCTCAAAATTATTCATACCCTTGGTAAATATGATCAAAAAAGGCTGTGAAAATTAATCTGTAGCATCAATCCTTTAGATATTTTATTTTAAAAATGGACTAAAATCTAACCTTTCATTGGAGAATAAGAATTTAAAATGGGAGAGAAATGTCATTATGAAATGTTTCTCTCTAATACACATTGGTCACAATTAATCATACCCTTTTATCCAATACTTTTTGCAACCTCCTTTTGAAGGGAACAGCTCCGAGTCTTCACCTATAATGCCTGAAGAGTTTAGAGAACATCTGACAGATCAGAGATCAGAGACATTCCTTCATCCAGAATCTCTCCAGACCCTTCAGATTCCCAGCTGCATGATGGTGCTTCTCCTCTTCAGTTCACCACACTCATTTAGGGTTCAGCTCAGTTAACTGGGTTGGCCAGGGCAGAAGCTTGGTTTTGTTCTCAGTGACCCATTTTTGTTTTGATTTTGATGTTTGTTTGTGGATCATTGTCCTGTTGGAAGATCCAACCATGGCCCATTATAAGATTTCTAGCATGGACAGTCAGTTTTTAATTTTTTATCCATTGGTATTTTATAGAAATCATTATGCCATCTATCTGAACAAGATATCCAAGATCTCCGGCAGAATAATAGGCCCACAACATTAAAGATACAGCAGTATATTTCATTGTACACATTTTTTTTTTTTATCCCTGTGCGCACCAAACCCATCTTGAGTGTTTGATGCTAAAAAGCTACTTTTTTTTAGTTTCATCTAACCATTGAACCCAGTCCCGTTTAAAGTTCCAGTCGTGTCTAGCAAATAAATATGCTGGAGTTTGTTTTTGGATGAGAGCTATTTCTTTTCTAGTTTTTTCTTAGAATTTCTTAGAATTTTCTGCAGTTCTCCAGCTGTGATCCTTGGAGTCTTTGGCCACTCACTGCATTAGGACGATATAGACACATGTCCTCTTACTGTATTAGAGAAAAATATTTATTTCATAATGTGATTTTCCCCCACTTTCACTTTTTCAGATTTTTTTTTTTAATGAAAGATCAAGTGGATAAACAATGCAGATTTATTTTCACAGCCGCCTTTGATCATATTTACCAAGGGTATGAATAATTTTGAGCACAACTGCACCTCTACAAGCTAAAAGGCAAACTAGATATTTTTGGATGTGAAGATCAATTGTAAGCTACTTTTATTGTAGGTGTACTGGGATACAAATAAATCCATTTTAATGCATCTATACAGTAGATGCCTACAGTAAGTTGACATTATCCTGCAGTGGCCAGATTGTTATTAAAGACATTTATATTAAGTCAAAATGATTGTATTAACATGTCATTATTGTAAATAATCAATCAAGTGCTTGCTATTGTTGTAAAGGATGCTGTCCAGGAAATCTTTGTGCGTAAGAAAACTGAACGTGTCGGCTGTGCTCTTGAACTGTTTTCCCAGTGACGCACAGTCATGTATTGTATCATTCTGGCATCGTCTTAATATTGACATGTGTGTTTGCACTCTATCTGTGAGTCTGTAGTGATCAATCTACAAGTCATCCAGAAGCCTTCTTTGATTCTGTGGCACATATTAGATGTACAGTAAATGACATACACATGCAGAGCAAATAATGTTGGCAGATCACACCTTTCATATCAAGCCCTTTTAGACATAACCACTGCTGTCGTCACAGGCGCCAAGTGCACTCCATTTGATTTCATGCTTCCTTTAACTTGTTTTCTTCTCCAGTTGCTTGTGTCTCTAATCAGGTGGTACTGGCATCTGTTCTCACATATTTAATCATAGATATGTATGTACTCATACAGAATTAAATTTAAACCTTCGTGATATTATATTGAATTACAGCATGACAGATAGACTTTCAAAGTTAATTGTCCATAAATGACTATGGAGCAAAATTACCTTTAATCTATAAGCACATTTAGGCACTAGCACACATGACAAGCTGACTTAAGACTTAGCAAGCATGTGACAGCTCTTTCTTTGCTCAAATGAATGGCTTTTCCACTGGAAATTATGATTTGAAATTTTACCATTAGAGATGTTGGGAATGGCTTTATGGTTGACTGAATGTAGCAATAGTCACATCCGTAGACGCATGCTGTCAAGGTTAGTGCCAGCCACTGAAGGACATGAAATGTTTACTCGATGACCTTTTTGTGTGGCCAGTCCAGGTGTTATTTTCTCAGAGCGATGATATGTTTGAAAGAAGAGCTCAAGCTGGTAGTGTAGGAGGGTAATGAGTGACTGAAAGGGTTGTTTGTTACTGCTTCATCTGACCATCTGCTCAACTGCAGCGTTTTTATACATAATTCTTTCTGTAGCATCTTTCTAGAACCTTCTGGACTCCTCAACAGCTTAATTCAGCATTATCCTTCAGTTTAAAATAAAAATAGCTGGTGAGCTTCAGCATGAGCACAGCCGGTGATCTGCTGTGCCAGTATGTTATTCTTGATCCTGACACTGCAGAAATTACTCTGTTGTAAGAATAACTCAAACTGTGTAGCCAGCTGGCGAGGATTAGCCCTGCTATGCTAGTGGCAACCGCTGACTGCCACGCTCAAACGCTGCAAATCTCTTATCAGTGAAGTCATGGTGATGTGAAATTTCCTCTGCAGTGATTTATTGGACAAACATTGGAAAAATCCACTCCTTTTTATGCATTTTTTCCTTTAAATGAGCTATATGCCACAGCAGATCGAAGCAGCTTTTCCATACTTTTTAATTTCATGTTAATGTAAATGGATCCGATTTCATGTTGAATTAAAGGGGTCATATGACGTTGCTAAAAAGAACATTATGTTGTGTATTTGGTGTAATGCAATGTGTTTATGCGGTTTAAGGTTTAAAAAACACATTATTTTCCACATAATGTACATTATGGGGGAAGTCTTGGCCTAATGGTTAGAGACTCGGACTCGTAACCCAAAGGTTGCGGGTTCGAGTCTTGTACCGGCAGGGATTGTAGGTGGGGGGAGTGAATGTACAGCTGATGTATTTCCTCAGCGACCAGCACGGATCAGCGGATATTGTCCTCTTTTGGAAGGCTAAACAAAGTAGTTTCGCTTTCACAAGGAAACACACAGCATCTTCACGACATGGTGCCGGCGGCAGCAACAATACTACAGCAAGAATAAAAGTTATGCCTTCTTTCTTTGCGTGAACATTTGCGCGGCGTTATGCAAATCTTCCCACATCGTGACGTAGACATGTGGGGGCGTGTTTAAACGAGCCGTTTTAGGTAGGCGTGGACAAGTCTTAACTTTTATATAGAATATCTCTTTTGATTTGAGACTTAGTCTTTGCAACTTTACAGATCTTCTTTATGCACCAAGAGCTTGTAACACTCCAAAGAGAAAGGAAAAATTTTAATCGCATCATATGACCCCTTTAAGTAAATTGCTTATTAGACCAACCTTAAATTCTCCTGGCTATAGTAGAGGCTTTCAGCATTTACAAACTTAAACCCCCGTCCCTAAGACTCAGCCAACCCAGAGACTCCCAAAATAAAGATAACTGATTTTAATAGTAACTTCCATTATATAACACAGGTTGTTAACAAGTATTCTTTTCTTTTTTTTTATTTTTATAAATAAATAGATTAAATAAAAAATGAATAAATAAAAAAAAAAACACAAAAAAGTATGCTTACCCAGGCTGCATTTATTTTAATATGTAATAATATTTTACTTCAAGGGTCTTCAACCGGGGGTCCGCAGCGGTTTTGCAGGCGGTCTGCCAATTAAAGTTTGATCACAAATCATTTTTTGTTAAAAAAAGGTAGGTAAAACACATCACACAAAATAATTTTTTAAATATAAGCACCCTGAAACGAAAGCAAGA